GGGGCTGGCTGGCATGTGGTGCTGGGGGATTGAACCGCGGTTCCTGTGCTTTGTTAAGCTTGTTCTAAGTAGGTGCTTTAGACCACTGAGCCATCCCACCAGCCCCGCCCCTCAATTCTTAAAATGGAAAGTTTGGAATAATTAAAACTAAATTTGTATTAGATCCTATGAAATTAAGTATGTAAAGGTCATCAGCAAAAATAGAACAGTAACTAAAAGTTTTGTTGTCCTATTTTCTTCACTTAGTAAGATCTTAGCAATCTGTCAGATATCCTGATATACCTCCTCTTTTAAGTATTTTTTACTGGGCCAGCAAAATAGCTCAATGGTCTAAGGCAACTGCTTAGACAAGTGCGCAGGGACTGCAGTTGGATCCCCAGCACCTCATGCCGCGCCAGCCCTGCCCCCAGGGTGAGCTGAGCCAGCCACAAAAAAATAAATGAATAAAATATTTTTATTAAACCTGTCAGTACTCATATGTACCTTTATTTATTTTTTTGTTGTTGCAGACTGGAGATTGAACTCAGAACCTTGCCCTTACCAGACAGGCAGGTGCTCATGCTACTGAGCTATCTCCCTGGTCTTAGTACTTATATATACTTTTAAAAATAAAAATACAACTAGCTTTATTAAAAGGAAATTCAATTTCTCGGTAGCAGTTAAGTAAATTGAGAACATATACTTGTACCAAGAGTTATGACCCTAAAAGTTCTATAATTTTATTATACATAACATGGGCTATTTTTGTCTGCGAAGATAAAATATACTAGGACTTTGGTTACCTTTAATGTATGAAATGTGCTCCCTTTATTTTGACTTCTTAGGCAGAGTGAAGGATTAAAACCTCTAAGCTGAAATATCACTGCCAAACCAGTTCACCAAACCCAGCCACAGGTGATGCAGAGGGCGTTGACTGGCATGCATTCACGTGATGACTTGCACCATGAAGTCTCTGAGGAGGCAGCAAGGCAAAAAAGTTAAATCTTTCTCCCATCTTCTGAGGGTTCATTAACATATCATACCCCTGAAGTAAGTGCTGTCTCATCAGTGGCTCATCCGATTTACCTAAAAGAACCTGAGAAGACAACATTTCTTAGTAAATAGGAAGAAAGGAAGGAGGGAAATCTGTAGGTAGATACAATACTATTAATAATTCAAATATTTAAAATGTGAATTCTGATTACCCACCCAAGATTCATAAAGTTATTAATAAAGTGTAGTTTGCTATAACACAACTATGGTTGTGCACTCTTAATGAATATCCCCAGTTTGCTTAAATTTAGGTGTGCTTGGAAGAACATAGCCATGAACATGAGTTTTTCATGAACATGGGTAATTGGAAAGCATTTATTCTACCTCTCTTGAATGTTACCAGGCTGTGCCACACTTCCAGCTCTCTAGTTATCCAAAATCTTACACTACTGAGAAGACTGAAACATCAAGAATCTGCCTACCCAGAGTATTCATAATTTTGAAATACTATGAAATTAAAATACTTAATGATAGTGAAATAAACCATTACCTTCAGCCGGACATCAATACCCATATTTTTTAAAAATGTTTGCTGTTGTATTGGACCCAGAGAAACTACTTTTCCTTGTGCCATCCTGCGCAAATAACTGAAGTCCACATCAGCTGTTAGGTCTGCTGTTCCAGGGGCAATTAAGACATCATGAAGCTTGTGGCCACAAAATCCCTTAAACATAAAAGAAATTAGTTTTTTGTACTTTTATGCCTCTCTTTATTAAAATCAAAGAAATGCTATCATATTAGTACATATTTACCTGCAGTTGTTAAAATAGGGCCTAAATCTTTTAGACTATGCAGTAATACCTTTAGCAAATACAGTACTATATGGCAAACCCAATATAAAGTACAAGAGAGGAGTGTCTGAAGATGCTGACCTTAATATAGTTATTTAACATTTTCATTAATGTTTATGATGATTGAATACAAATGACCTTATATATTCTCCCAAAGAATTTAGGTAATCAGAACCTAGGCCAGTTTTATAGTCTTATCTATAAACAGTCTTGCTACTTAGTGGCCCTGATCTCACTATGTGGCCCAGGCTGGCCTCGAACTCACATTGGATCCTCCTGCCTCAGCCTCCTGAGTGCTGGGATTACAGGTGTGTGCCACCACCCGTAGCTTAAAATATACAACAGTGCTAGGCACTGTGAAAACCAGAGAAGATTCAGTGAGTTTCAAATCTAACAAACTGATTAAGCATGTTACTGGATTATACATACTCTGAAAGTGTCTGTCTTTGTCCCATCATGACCATAATCAGCAATCAGTGCAGCACCTCCAGTGACTGCTATGCGTTCAGAAAGTTCTTGAATGATAACCCCAGCATCAGGACATACTTCAACATGATCCCTTGTTTCATCGTGCTAGTGAGGAAACAGTTGGTAGAATGAAAACACATCATTCTAAAAAGCTTTCTTAAGGGGCCTAAAAAATGTTTCTGTATTATAAGCATTTCTTAGTTATAATTGCTTTTCAATATTAGTAATTTCTTAATGTTTCACTTGACATCCCTTTAATGAAACAGACTTCTTTGATTCTCTGTTGCTATCCACTACACTTGTAGACATTTTATCCTATTTTATAAAAAGATACATGCCCTCTCAACCCCTTTATGGCCAAGTGCCAAGTGCATTATCTTTGTTTCTGAAAAAGGGTCTCATTATATAGCCCAGGCTGACCTTGAATTCACGATTCTCCTGCATCAGCCTCTACAGCACTGGGATTACAATGTGTGATACCATGCCTAGTTCATTTTATTATAATAGTACTTGCATTATCAGGAGAAATAAACGTTCCACTTGGTTGGCTGACAGCATGAGAAGGGGCTTTCTGTCTGATTACAACCGTACCTCAAATTCAGTACTCAAAAACTTGGTTAGAAAGAACAAGATATAAGTCCAGTCTAGCAAAATATACCCTGTTAAGTAAGTATAGTATGATGAGTTCTCCTGGAGCAGAACAAATAGCAATCGCATGCTCGTATCTGGAAACAACAGCTTGTGAATTAGTGCCACTAGACCTGAGACTCATTACCTGCAATTTTCAACCATTATATAGGGCCCACAAAATCGGGTCCACGACTGTCAAACATGAAGTGACTGAATATTAATACTTGTCAACTGGACTGGTATATATCAAGTTTTACTGATGCCCGAGATGACTGATGAAAGTTTGATACTTTTTTTCTCTCCACAATGAAAATACATTATTTTTGCTCCCTCCTAGCACCACTAAATTGAAGTAAGGACCTGTTCTGATGTCTCTGCCTAGTCAGAAAGACTTAGGTTTGAACCTCTTCTCAAAGGTCATGTGAGCTTTCACTGTAACTTTACTATCGTCGGTGTTAACATGGCTTCACAGGCAGTGCTCTAGAAAGCTGACTGTATCTTCAGCATTTGATAGTTGAGAGCAGAATAAAAAAGTAGGCAAGGTCTTGACTAAGTAAGTGCTTCCCAGCTATCTGACTTATGACTTGAAGGTGACAAACCTAAAGAATGATCTTAACCTGTTCTCTTGAAATTAAATCCTCTGCACTTTCACTGTCAACAAAAAGCACCCTGAAGGTTACCAACAATTTCTCTTATTCAAGGACTTGAAATTGTAACTCACAGAACAGTACTTTGAGTGCTATTAGCAATGAAAGAAACAGAAAAAAGTGTTCCTACTTGCAGAAGAGCTTCAGCAGGGGTGACACAAGGCGCCAGAACAAACCTCAGCTTATCGGAAACTTGTGGATCAATATCAATGAGTACTTCTCTCCACCCTTGGGGTGTTTTCTAAACAAAACACAAAAAATTTTTGCAAGTTCTCATAATTGCCTTTCACCAAAAATACTATGTTTTTTCTTTGTGCATATTTAAAAAGCACTGAATAATTTTAGTAGAGAAATAGTACGAATGAACTGATACATGCACAATACTGTAAGGAAAAGCAATACATAATGGAGCTACAGAAGATAAATTTTTCTTAAAAGGCATGAAAGTTAGTGTGGAAAGTCCCCCAAAATGTAGGATAAACCCAGGAGGACTAGCCAGACGCTAACGAGAGCCGTTCTTGCCTCAAATGTTACGAGTAGACACAGTGCCAAATCTTTATTATAATTAGTTACAGAAAGAACAAGAAAAAATAATTTAGAATTTTTAAAAGTTTGTCAAAAGAAATCCTGTACAAATAACAGTCATTTACCATCTCACATTTATCCCAGAAGAATTAAGAATTGTTTTTCCCACTTTTTTAAAATCAGTGCACACTGGTTATACAGATCAGTAGGTTCCATTTTGGCAAATTTGTATGTGCACACAGCATACTTCATTTCCTCCCCTCCCTGCCTTGCCCCGCGGTCCAACTTCACACAGGAAGGGGAAGTCAGTGTGTATAATGCATTTTGATCCCCATACATCAAAGCAGCAGCACATAAAGCCAACATTAAAAAGCCAATAGCTTTTCTGTATGCCAGTAGTAAGACAGAAATCAGAAAACAAGTCCATTCACAGTAGCTTAAATCCTAGGGAATCATTCTAACCAAGGAAATGAAAGACATCTACTATGCAAATTTTAGAACACGAAACCGAAGACACTAGGAAACCCTTCATGCTCATGGACTGGCAGAATTAATGTTTAAAAGACTACAGTAGTACTAACTTAACAAGAGCAATCTATAGATTTAGTGCAATCTGCATCAAAATATCTTCACAGATGCATTAAGAATCCTTAACAATTATTCCAAGAACATCAAGATTTCTATCTAATGCTTCTACCCATCAATAGTTAAAAGTCACCCAACACGTAAGGCTTATAAATTTAAGTACTCTAAATGTTCATGGTTTTAACACTTCAGTTATCGGATTACAAACATGACTTTCATCAGTACCTGAAACTTATGCACAGGAAGAACGTCAAAAAATTCATGTGCAAGAAAAAAGCTGTACCCTATTTGAAAATAAAAGAAAAAAATTAATGGTTCAGCATTTCAAGGCAATTAAGTCTTTAAAACATAAATAAATAAATAAAAGGAAATGTCTAACTACTCAGTATTGGAACCTGGCATGCTTTCATAATCACCACTAGATATAGCCTCCTCTTTATAGAAAATTTATTCTGCAGAACAGAGGAAAGAATAACTATTACTAGTCTCATTTTCTATAGTCAGAGAACTGCAATGGCTGAATTACTGGTTAGATCTAATCACACAACCTGAAAGAAATCACATGCATTTGTTGGCTCATATTTGGAAGGCAACCTGAATTTTATAAAAGCACCTGAGAAGGCTAGGGCCAGAGAATGGCTTTAAGTGTCTTGCCAGGATCCTACCCCCACGTAGTTTGAGCCTGGATTCATCAAAGAATCTTGACTAGGGCCGAGACTTGACCACCACCTTAGGCAAGCACTCGTTTTCAAAAGATCAACTAAGCAAGTCCTCCTACTGACACTGCTTTCTGAAGCCCTGGCTGCCTTGCTGCCTCATCATTGGCACCATCCTTGCTACAGGGAAACACTTAAAAAGCACAGTGGAAGTGTACACTTTGGCTATTTGTTTTTGCTTTGTTATTCTTTCATAAAACTACATGAAATACACTGCTCCTTAATGTTAGGTACCTCTATCTTCTATTACAATATTTTTCTAGGAAAAAAAAAAGTTAGCTGTTCTCTAAGGAAAAGGAACCTGGTACCAATGATTAAATGTATTAAATTGCTGTAGAAGGTTATGGTCAATGACCACTACTATGAGGCTCTAATAAGAGTTCTTTGATTAATCAGTGAGAAGTAATTACCTTTTGGAACATCCTGTAGAGCACGGTACCAGGATACTGGGAGCCCAGACTTAGTAACACCTTTCATATATACTAGAGACTCTGCATTCCGCTCTAGTGGGATCTTTGCTTCAGTCAGTGTTGATGCTTGAAGATCGCTTAATCTTTGGCTCACCTCTACCAGGTGTATTGAAATGTCACAGTTCTTTAGCACAGATCCAAGCTGACTGAACACCTAAAGAGAGAAAGAAAAAAATTATGGCAAAATACAATATGTTATAAAGATGTTAAGTGTTCTAACCATTTACTACATTAGTTCAGTCAATCACAAGTAATATGTGCTATCTGCTTCTGACCCAAGCCACTCTCCAGTGTATAAAAATCATAACCTACTAGAATTATTAAGCATAATCTTACAGTGGTGGCAAACATATGGCATGTGTGCCGCAGTGGCCTACTGGTATCATTCAAAGCTCTAAAAGATTTGCCATCAGTGATCTAAGAAATGAACAGTATACAGTTTGATTCCCTAATGATACATTATGATTAACAAATGAAAATAAAAGATTTAGCATTCAGTCAAACAATTTCAGATTCTAAAACAAGACCAAGGAAATAAAATTTATATGACCTTCATTTTGTAAAGCCTGCATGTGTGAAATAATCTTACCTTTGAGATGATTAAACTATATCCTAAGGGAATTAAATTTGAATACCACTAATAAGCTGGCAGCCTACCTTTGGAACTACACTACATTTTCTTTTTTTTTTTTTTTAGCTATCCAGAACAATTTTTTAACTACTGTAAATATACAGGGAAGAAAGGAAAATAATAATTTATTAGTCTTTGCTAAAATGCAAAAGCATAAAATACAAATATTTTTCACTTGAATCTTCATTCTTGGCTGGTCTATTTTTTAAATACAAATGGGCAGATACAGAACAATGAAAAGAACAAGGTATTTCCAAACATAGACTGAAGATTAGACTAGACATGAAGCTATTTCCCAGGAGAAAAACCTTTCAAAAGTAAGCTCATCTGGGGCTGGGAAGATGGCTCAGCAGACTATGCGCTTCCCTGGCAAGCGCAAGGGCCTGAGTTCAATCCCCAGTTCCACCAAAAAAAAAAGTAAGCTCATTTGCTTTTGAAACTCGGTTTATATCCCTGTAAATTTTCTATTTCTAGAAGAGTTCTTGTGACTTAATCTAGAGAGATAGCCTAAAGGCTATTGGTTTACATTTTTTCAAGTATTTGAATAAGAAAATATTATTTCAATAACTTTTAAAATATTTTAAATTCAGGTAGCTTTACTACTTTTAAGAAATAGAAAATAGAGCCCTAAAAACTCAAATCAGTGATTATTCCCTCCTAAGTACAAGCAGGATTCCTGTTAGATGCTTAAATACTCTGCTTTTTTAAAAAAAACTTTCAAATCCCAATTTGAAGCAAAAGTCATAAGGCATCAGGAAAATTAAATTTGGTCTAGAGGTCACTCCCATTCTCAATTTCCAACTAGCCACTTTATGGCTTCTCTTTATGAATCTTATTCAATATATATCAACTATATCCTGCTTATTATTGACTTTTTTGGATTTTATACAAATAAAATTATAAAAATTCTTTTGTGACTGCTATTTTTACTCCGTATTTTGTTTCATGTTGAATACTGCTGCATTCTGCAGGCTTGGTATTCCACTGGATGGCTGAACCACAATTTACTGATGCATTTCCCAAGGCCAGGAAGTGCTTCTGGTTTTCTTGCTGTCCTCAACAATGTTACCTTCTTGAACATGCCTCCTGTACTAGTTTGTATGAGCAGCAGTGAAACTGCAAATTTATACAATGTAAGTAACTTGAAATTGAGCAGATAATGCCTGATACCGTCTCAAACTGGCTGTACCAAATTCTACCTGTACCAGCAGAGTATGAGAGCTTCCAATGCGCCACACAGCCCCATCTGCACTAGCACTTTGTGAGGTGAGACTTTTTTCAATCTGTTAGGATTATAGTACTATCACAACATAATTTTAATTCCTATTTCTCTATGAGAAACTGGCACCTTTCTTTTTATTAGTCATTTGATTTTTTTTTTTTTTCTATTCAGAAGGGGCTATTCACATCTTTAGCTTTCTCTTTCTTTCTTTCTTTCTTTCTTTATTTATTTATTTATTTTTGCAATATCAGGGACCAAACTCAGGACCTTGCCCTGGCCAGGCAGGTGCGTATGGTGCTAGGCTATATTGGCCACTGAGCTATATCCCTGTTTTTCTATTATTTGTTATCTTTTCATTGACTTAAAGGAGTTTTTTATATATTCTACTATTATGGGTTATATATAAGTTCTCCCACTCTATGGACTGATCTTATCAGTCCACAGTGTCTTTGACAAAAAAAAAAAAGCTTCCTAATTTCTATAAAGAACAGAAAGTTTCTAATTTTTTTTTCTTTTAATATATTGATACAGGGTCTCACTGTGCAGCTCAGACCTGTAGTAATACTCCTGTTTTCATCCTCCCCGGCACTAGGCCTACAAGTGTGCACTACCACACCCAGACTTGGTGGCCCACTCAGCGCACCTAAAGGTGGGACCAGCACTGCATGCAATATGGGGGAAGCCAACCCTAGTTCTTGCACTTGCCTAAGCAAATGCTTAAGACTGCTGAGCTATCCTGCCAGCCCTCCTAATTTTATTTTCTTAAAACTAAATTTTTAATCTTTTCTTTTATGGTCTCTACTTTGATAATAAATACAAACTATCTATTGAGGAGATAAACACATTCTCCTATAATATCTACTAAACACTTATATGTTGCTTTTACATTCTCTACACATACACACATGCACACAGTTTTGAGCTTATAAACAATGAAAATTGAGGAGGTAGAACCAAAATCCAAGAAAATCAATGAAATTTGCAGTCAGAGTAAGAACCAATGAGACTTAAAAGACATTCTGTTATTACCTACCCTCAAAATGTCTCCCATGAGGGTGCCCCGACCAGGGCCCAGTTCCACCAGCTGGAAAGCTGTGTTTTTCCCAGCCGCCATCCATTCACTAATGAACCATATCCCTAAAAGCTAAGACAAGGAAAGACGTACATTAAAGTATTATAAAGTTCAAAACTATATCACAATGTAAAATCCCATGTACATACACGTTAAGTCATAAAGTATTTCCAAATAACTGCATGTGTATTATGTAATAGGTACATAATATATATGCTCACAGGATTGTATCACAATATACACTACTTAGGAAATACAATGATAGAAAATACATTTATCCTTTTATCTGTACCATGAGGCTTTTTACTGCAGAGGGGGGAGGGGAGAGGACAGAGGGAGCACAGAGGGGAGTCTCTGGCTGACTGATAGGACATGAGTACAGATAAACCGCCTAAGCCCAGCAATGGTCCACCAGAAAGGATGGGATGAGACGCTCTCAGATCTGCCATTACAATCAAACTTGTTGGATAAGAGAACATCACTCATGAAAATGTACTAGTCTTTGAAAGTAAATACACATATGAGACTGTAACATTTCTTTATACTTATTATTCAAATCATTTTACAATTCTTAGTAATTATTAATTTGGATTCTACTTCCTCTTGTGTACACTTTCCTGTCCTATTTCTAAATCATCAAAAGTACTTTCATGGAAATAATTGAAATTCTTTTCCTTAAAGGGAGGCTTCTACTGCAGCTATGATTAAATTAGGGCTGCAAGCTTTAGGGCTCATCTGTATTCCACTAATTCTCCAGTGTTCTTTTTTATCTTCTCTCTTTTCCTCATACCCAATTTCCCTTGGTTCTCCTCCAATTTGTCAGCTCCCATCTCCTTTCCTTCTTTTTGTCCCTAAAGTCAAGTATAAATTTTTCAAATGTCCTTTCTCTCTACCATTTTCCCATTTCCTACTTCCTCTCAAAAATTAAAACTTTTGATGAATCACACAAAAGTCCCTGTAAAACTCATATATTATAGATCAATACAAATGGATCTGCTCTCACATGCTGTTATTACTGTCTTTCATAGTTTACTTACGGTTTTACCTCTCCAAAGATCTGACTTATTTCAGGTGAGGTAATGAAATCTCCTTTTTCTCCCAGCATATCATGGTGCACATAATATCCCTGGGAAAGAAAAAAAATGGAGAAAAATTAATTTTCAAATATGGCTTTCTAAAACACTTCAAAATCTCATATCTACAACGATTTAGTGTGAAAGCACTCTTAATAGACAAGATAAAGACATTACTTCTTTTACAAAACAGGAGTCAGTTTGCCACAGACAGAGAAAGTTACCCTCAGCTTTGGACCAGAAGCCACGCAGCACTCATCTCTGCCCTCTTTGCCCTCATTTCCCTTCCTGCTCAAAATTCAACCATAGCCTCCACCACCAAGCCTTCTGGCCTCCTCTCCCAAATTAGCCTAGCCTAGCCTGCTGATGACTGTTTCTTTTGTTGTTTTTTAAAATGAGGTCTCACTGTGTTGCCCAGGCTGGTCTTGAACTCAAGATCCTCCCACTTCAGCCTCCGAAGTGCCTGAGACCTCAGGCTTGTACACCTGTTTCCTATGTTGGCGCATATTACACAACAGTGCTCACTGTGAAAACGCGCTCCATTGTACACTTGTGATCTATGCACTATTCTGTATGAACATTGTATCTCAATAAAAAGGTAGGTTTTTTCTGAATAAGCCCTGATCTCTACACAGCTATGCAACTGTAGAATCTCCCTTCTCATTTCTTGCCCGAAATTACACTCAGCCTTTCGGACTGCTCAAATGCCGCCTTTACCGACCTCCTGCTCAGCCCTCGGCCCCAAGACTAAATCCAGGGCTTCCTCTTCTGAGCTTATTCCTCTGAGTTCTTCACAAGAAGCAGTACTTAAGGGAGAAAACTATTCCTTACTTATTTTCATAATACATAACTTTCAAGGCAGAATCTTCTGTTCAAAACTTGCCCCTGCTTCTCAAATACCTTTTTTTTTTTTTTAATGTATTTTAGTACAGAGTATCACTACATAGACACGTAGTGATTCTGTTTTCAGCCTCCCAAGCACTGGGATTACAGGCACGCACCACCACACCCAGTCTTAATCGCCCTCTCTGGGCACCCCGGGGGATTGAACCCCAGTCACTACACTCTGCCTAAGCGGGCACGTTAGTCCGCTAAGCTAGCTGGCCAGCCCTCAAATACCTTATTCTAACACCTCATAATTTTCTGGACTGCTGCCCTGTGCAAGAACTGAAACTCATTCTCCAGTGCACTAACTCCCCTGGCTTCCACCTGCTCCACTCCCTCTGAGACTCACAGCTACGTACCATCCCTGTCTCTCAGCCAGATCTGATGGCGTGGAGTGCCCAGGATCTTCTTACCAGCACCTATCTCTTACAGCTTCAACTGTGCCCTTATGGCATTAGAAATAAACTCACTCGCATCGCTAAGCAGAACCTTTTTCTCACTATACATAACATTCCCAGAGGCAGAAGAGCTTCACTTCAGAAGCAAGCGTTTTGGGAAGGTACAGATCTCCTTGGTATAGTGAAACTTACAGTAAACCCTTCATACAATTTGTAAATGCATAAATTTTTTCAGGACTGAGGACTAACCTAAGGCCTTCACACTGAGCTAAATCCCTAGCCCATTTTTATTTTATTTTGAGACAGGGTTTCCATAAAATGTTGAACTTCCTTGGCTGGATATGAAGTTGCAGTCCCCCTGCCTCAGCCTCCTTGAGTTCTAGGATTAGAAGGGTGTGTCATGTCAGCTGCTGCAGTGCTCTCAGGTAGATGATTGCTTAAAAAGGAAGGGGTGGTGAATAAAGGCAGGAGACAGGAAAAGGAGTGTTGCGGGACTGTCCTGCTTCAATGTTGTACATGGTTAATTTCTGGACGTATATATAATTCTTTATTCCTATTTTTTAAATATATTTTAACTTTTTCATCATATTCTGTAACTTAAAGTTTAAAGTTTAACATATCAATGCTTGATGAAAAACACCTGTTCCATGTTATGCCTAAGATGTTTGATATTCAGACAGTGAGGTTAAGCTTCACAGCCTAGGTTGTATGGTAATAACAATAAGCTTCTCTTCTGGAGGGTTAACAATCTAAGTTTGCAAACCAAAAATCAGAGAAAAAGGAGTTCCGCAAGGAAAGCCAACATTTTAGCCCTAGCCTTCTAAGGTCAATTAAAACTCAGGAAGGATGAGAACTTGTACTGTAATGATATTTAACTCAGTTGTGCCCCAAATTTATCAAGGAGATTATGGGGCCAAAGAGGAAAGTGATCGATGATGTAGAGTGTGCCTAAGGAGAGTCACATGGAGAGAATATATTCTCTCAGGCTGTCACAGAGAGCAAATTGGCCAAGCAATGGCCGGGACTCCTCCACATGGCTGACACTCACAAAGGATCTACAATCTGAGGTAGAGTCTCAGGATAAATCCTAAGGGGATTTGACTGACCTTATCAGATCCAAAAGCTACAATTCTTGTTACATAGGTCTTGCTTTATCTTGGTCTTAACCATCTAGCAGAAAAGTATAAAAACGAAAAGTATATAACAAGTAAAGCCATGGTGTTATGTTGAGCTGTAGGGGACTCAGGTCAACAGCTTCTGACATTGCCAGTCAAGCGGAAGACCCAATACTATTATGGACGACTGGACTATTTTCGAATATTTTGCTGAGTTCACACACCTATGATATTTAAATGATGAAACTAAACAAAACGGGATACAGATGAATGACCATTTTATATCTGTGTATTGTAAATGACTAGGATAGATATATAGCTATATTCTCAATTCAATGAATAGAGAGATTTGTTCTAATAGTGTTTGTAAATAGGATATCATGTCTGCATCTTGTACAGCAAATAACCACAAGGAAGACAGTATGCAATGTGTTAATTATTGGAACTGTCCTACCAATTTGATTTGAAACTGTCTCATTGCTATTTATTTCTCATTAAAATTATGGAAAAAAAAAAGAAGGGTGTGTCAGCAGTCCATCTTAAATGCACAGAACTTTAAACACACAGAATCACAGAAGAAATTAATAGAAAAATACTTATCAACTGTTTGAAAATGTCTTTACCAGTGTATTAAATGACAAAAATCAAACAAAACATCTATTAACTAAGTTTTGAAGATGAACACAGCACCACTTTGAGAAAGTAATCACTGTACTATTATGACAGACAACAAACCCCCACGTATGAACTAGGTGTGGTGGTGCATACCTAGTTATGTAACAGTTATATAACAGTCTGCGAAGCGCAGGAAGGAAGCAAGTTACACTTAGGGAGACCCTGCCTCAAAAAAATTAATAAAGTTTGCTAATGTACCTCAATGTGGAAGCCCTTGGTCCAATCCCCAATATCACCAAAGAGGAGTAAGAAAGTATTGCCAATGTTTTTACCAATTGCCTATGTTCATAATTTTTAAAATGCTAAATTTCAATTATGAGTTAAAGGAGTAATTTTGTTTTTTCAATTCAAGCTCACGAGCCCTCAGCTTTCAAAGTTCTTTAGGTTAGGAATCTCATATGTTGAAAGTTACCCCAAGTCTTAATGCTGGGAAAATTTCTTTCTGTGTACACTCGCCCTGGTTCCTTGGCCTTAACTGCCATCTACACACTGATGACAACCAAACTCTAAGCTTCAGACACCTACAGCCAACTGCTACGTGCTACCTCCAGCTGAACTTCACTGCCAATGTCAGACACCACTCCTGAGTAGACCCTCCTTCCCAGAACTCCTCCAAACCAGGTTCTCAATACCATAACTGTCTCAAAAGAAGGCACAGCCTTCACCCAACTGCTCTAGGTAAAACCTGAGAACCAGACTTGTTCCTTTCCTCTCCTTCACCCTTCCACTTAGCAGCAAATCCTGTGAGTCCAAGATCTATTTTTTTTGGTTTTTTTCAAGATCTATTTTTAAGCACCCATTTCTCACCCCATTTCTACCACCGCAGCAGTGTTAGCCACTTACCCTGTTGCAATGCCCACAAACATTAACATACCCCTGCCTGTCTATGAACACTGACAAGGTTCACCACGTCCAACAGAAATAGGCCAAACCAATCCCAGAATTTCACAGATGCCATATTTAACCCAACAAAAAGTGAAATACTCAATTAAATTAACTATCACCAAACCACTTTGTAGAGGACAAGGACCTGCAGGCCAGAAAACTATGACAGTTCTGAACCTTAGAACAAAGACCTACACTTTGTTCTCAAAAGTAAAACCCTGACAAAGGTGTGGTGGTGCAGGCTTATAATCCCAGCACTCTGGAGGCTGAGGCAGGAGGATCACTGTGAGTCTGATGCCAGCACAAGCGAATTCAAGGCATTATAAAATCAAATCCTCTCTCAAAAGAAAAGTCCTTGAATATGCTTCCAATGCCCACTGAAGTTACTGACAGACAACTTTCCAGGCAATGAATTTTATTTCCAGTTGCCTACTGGCGACTCCCATACCCAGGAATCCCATCTACACCTGAAATGTACAGTCCTTACCTAACAACTCTTCATCCTTCCCCTGCCTCCTAGAGGGGCTCTCTCTCCTCTCCTGCAAACCCTTCTCCCAAACAATGACACCCACCATCAGGACAGGTAGGAAGTCATTCTTCCGCAAAAGCGAGTTACATTCCATCTTCTAGACGACTTGGGAATTTGTCTCCCTATTGGCACTAGTCGTGATCGACTGACAGGTTCAACTCTGTGTCTCCAGGTTGCCCTAGAAGAGCTTCGGGCTTCTCCCTACGCACACTCCTCCTTGAAGCCTCGTAAATCTGCAAAAGTGGGGTTGTAGGCTCCTTGACCCATACCTTGGCTGGGTTGGTTAACACCTCCTTCATGTACTCGGCCACAGTGATGGGGCCGGTGGACTTGATTTTGTACAGAAGATGCCGCAGCATCGGCGTCACGCGGTTGTCTTCTGCCGGCTCATTCCCGGAGCTGAAGTATTTCCCTTTCCAAGTACAGGGAATGACTGGAAAACAGAGCAAGCAGGCCCCATAATAAATATTAGTATTTGCACGTGCAAGCAGCCTCAGCGCTTTCCGGGCAGCTATGTTGACCCTTAGCTCCGCCCCAGGCCCAGAACGCTGACAGACGCGCCCCTCTCGCCCACTAGGCGCAGCGGAGGCGGCATTTGCCCGCGAACAGGCGCTGCGGCCCGGCGGACCGACTCCAGGTGCTGGCGCAGAGCGCCTCGGGATGGAAGGGAGACGCCGAGCCCCCAGGAGCCCCAACCGAGGAACTGTTGGAGGTGATCCAGGCGTTTTCCACAACTGGACTCTGCCGGGAGCACCCTTACCCGCGCGAGCCGCGCAGCGCAACTGCCGGGCTGCGGCTCTCACTAGCACGGCCATGCCGAGCCCTGAAGGCAGCTCAGCACAGCCCGGGGGGCGGTGACTGTAGGCACTTCCGGAAACGTCACGTCGCCGACGGAAGTACGTCACGCTCCAAGCGGAAGTGGGCTGTGAACTGCGCGCGCGTGCTTTGCCAACCATGGCTGCTGCGGAGCAGCCTTTGGAGTTCCATGCTAAGCGGCCCCGACCGCGGGACGAGGTGTTTGAAGATGAAGACGATGAAGACGAGGAAGACAGCGGTCAGGCTAAGAATGGGTTCTCCCTGGAGGAAGTGCTACGGCTCGGAGGCACCAAGGCAAGGCCACAGGTCCCCAGGAAAGGGGAGCAGGCGCGGGGTGCAGTAGGTGTGGGCGAGCGGAAAGTGCTTGCCGCGCTTGCTACACTTTTTCCTCAGTTCTCTGCAAAGAAAAAGTATTGAAAGATTTACGCCGTGGCCTCCGTTAGGAAGTAGGCGAGACCACTTACCAGGTGGGAAAAAGAGAACGTTTTGGCCGTCGCCTGGAGGCTCCAGTGTTTTGAATGCCAGTGATGTTAAGAATCGATTTCTGCGGTCGGTGGAATTTGCGCGTGCGCGGTGTGTGTACTGCAAGCGCTCGGCGCGGCCTGCACGTCCAAAGGGAAGCGGTAAACAGGCTTTTGGGATAGTACTTTTCAGGCTCCAGGTAATAGTAGTAGGGACAAGAATAAGGAGGACAGGGAGGAAGGCCGTTACGGTTTCGGTGACGTGATTAGGGAGGGCGTCCCTGAGAACCGTCTGTGAGCAGAACCTGTAGAAGGGGTGTGAACGGTGGTGGTCCAGTGAGATGCGACGCAAGGCCGGCCGAATTGTTCCATAAAGCGCAGAAATGCCATTGCAGCAGAGGCAGAGTGCATAGAAGAACTTAGGTGCACAACTTTGGACGATTTTAGGCAAATGTATGCCAAGATTTCCACTATTTTAAAAAAATATTTTGAGACCAAATTTTGTGGGAATTAGAGCAGAGGAAAGGCAGCCCAGGTGGGCAGATTCACAGTTTGTTTCTGCGCTTGAGTTCTATTTAATTTTAATATATTTAATACTACATTATTAATACAGCATATTAACCAAATTTTAGTAAGAGGCTTTAAAAGGTTATTGGGGCTATGGGGTACATGAACAGTCTTACCCACTTTATCTCCTATCATGCAGTTTTCCTTCTAAGAAGCAGTAATTTTTACGTTATTTTTTTATTTTTCAGGGATATTATGTATCTCATAAATACAAGTACACTTGAAATATATGCATGTGATTTTTTACACAAATAGGATCATATACATCTTTCCTGCTTTAGAGCTCTTTCTGTATTAGTATATAAAATGTCAATTTTCATAACTGCCTAAATCATTGTATGTCTTACCTACCTTGGCCATTTATTTTGGCTATACAAGTGGTTAGCAGTGTTATGCTATTTTAAATAATACAGTTTATTCCTTGATTTTTTTTTTTTTTTTTTTTTTGTCCTGTGTTTTGAGAGAATGATGAATTATTGACACTGACCTAGTGGTCTCTGGTTTTTATGTGAAATTGGAAATGTTATCTCTAGTCTGAGAAAAGCTTTGGTTGTATTATAGTTCTTTCTCATGTTTTTATTTTTTTATATTTAAATGTTTTATTCATCAAATGTTTATTTGCTACAGGGTAGCAGGCCAGGTAATACCATAGTAATTGAGTTCCACTGAGTTCAAAGATGACGTTTCAACCAATATGTTTTATTTGTAGTTTGCTTTTAACCTACTTATGTTTTCATGCAGCAAGATTACCTTATGCTGGCTACTTTGGATGAGAATGAGGAAGTGGTGGATGGAGGCAAGAAAGGAACAAT